GGAATCGTAGTTGGGGGGGATCGCGACGGCGGGAGAGGAGAAGAAGAAGAAGAAGAAGATAAAAAAAAGAAGAAGAAGAGGAGGAAGAAGAAGAAGATGATGAAAAGAGAAGACCAAGATGAAAAGGAGAAGAAGAAGAAGAAGAAGAAGAAGAAGAAGAAGAAGAAGAAGAAGAGGAAGAAAAGAAAAAAAAAGAAAAAAAATCAAAATTGTCGTTGATTACTTCTCTGCGTTGGGTAGCAACAATGATGACGAGGATGGCACAGCGTGGCGACGAGGACGACGGGCATGGTGATGGTGACGTGGCACGACGATGACAATCGCGATGGTGACGATGATGACGTGGCACGACGACGACGATCGCGAGATGATGGTGATGACGTGCCACGACGGCGACAATCACAACAATGACGTGGCACTACAACGACGATCACGACGATGATGCTGATGATGGCCAGGGGATGGCGACGAAGCAAGGTGGGTCGGGCGGGTTCGAACCGCTCTGATACCAATGTGACGGGCGTGAGGCGGAGGGAGAGCCGAGGGAGAGGAGAGAGAGAGGGAGAGAGTGAGAGCACACACACACACTCGCTCACTCGACACAACTGAGGGTCGGAMGCAGACACAGTGGCAAGGCACAAAGTCGAAGTCTTGGATTTCGAATGCCGAAACATCAAGTCACACTGAGTACGAGTACAGCAGCAGAAAACTGGTATGAGACTGGTCCCCATACCGTACGGGGAGCCAGTATAAGTATCGGTGACACGTACGGTACCAGGGGCATTTCTGCAAAGGCCCCGAGGGCAGAACTGAAAAATGCGGTATTTCAAAGTGGCGCTCGAATTGCAGCATGGCGCCAGTTGTCCAAAATCCTACGGTACGAAAGGAGGGATTTGGAAAAAGGGTGCCAGGCCGAAAACGGGATGCAGCCGAAACAACAAAAAGGTAGACCAGGGATCGAGCCCTGGTGGGGTCCGTAACAGACACGGCCTCGCTTACATGCTGGGTGAAGTACACGAAGACGGGGTCAATGCACTGGTCGATTGACTTGCGTGTGTGACTGTCAGCCAACGTGACTTACGTGGGCTGCGACTTCCTCCAAACGTGTGGCCCCAAGCCATTGCGTACCAGAAAATCGTGGCCCATATAGTTGCGAGTCCTTCCGCAATCAATCAAAGCGCTGCAGGTTGCCTCTCCGATCTGAATGCGTATGTACAACTGTTATGATTCTGGTTGTTTGTTGTCTGAAGACCAACACTCACTCACATAGACTTCCAGGTATGCCCATACATACAAAGAAGGAAGGGGAGAGGATAGGAGTATCACACCGCACAGGGAGAGATAAACACAGCGGAAGACTTGACCATGCGATATGACAGGGTACACTGAAAGTGCAATTCACTCCACTCAATCCTCACAACCAGTCATAAAGAAAAGCCGAGCAGATCACATCCAGCAAACAATGAAACGATGATAGTCCAAACCTAGTTACACACTGTTTATTAAACTCAGAGTCTCGAATTGTCAGGAGAACTTCAGAACTACAGTGCGCTGCTCAGAAATGAGCAGCGCCTCACTCCCCAACCCTAATTAGCACCCGTAACACCCCTGAGCCCCTGAGACATCAAGCGTCACCCAGATACAGCCTCCTGAGGGAAGCGCCACCCTGAAACAGGCCTCTGAGGCCAAGCGCCACTCAGAGGATGAAGACGAAGACCAGCGCCACAATATCTGATGATGATGAAGTGTCGGAAGACTTCTCGACTGGAAGTTTGCAGCAGCGCCACCAAACCTTGACAGGATGACCTTTGAGAAAGAAGCTGCAGCTATGGCTGCAGCATCACCACCCTGGAACCCCACTTCGGAGGAGGGTCCAGCAGGGCACCAACCTCTCTCACCTCCAACAGACCTCGATAGCCCAGACCTCTGTCAGGCCCTGCGTGCTGGCAGAGTACAGCGCAGGTCCTAGCTATGGCCGGTGCTCTGAAGGTCCGGCGTTGCTCGTCTCCTTCCACGCTGAACCGTCGCCACCTCCGGTTCACGCGTAGCGCAGCAGCGATGTACTCGGTACCAACTGCTAAAATCCCTGAACCGATGTGCCCATCCTATCTATACTACACTAGCTTAGACTCGACCTAGACCGGACTGACTGACCGACCGGTACCGTTTCTGTTTCAGCCTCTCGGCCTCTACCGGACCCGGCTATAGGCTATAGGACCGTCTATCAAAATAGGCCCTCTAGGCCTATCTGTCCTAGGGGTAGCCCGGGCCTGCTATTCGCAGTTAGGGTAGCTGTAGGGAATTTTGTTAGTACCGGGACTGCATATTTCCCAAATTTGCAGATATGTCCCTCACGAATTTCCCTCACAGGTAGGTCTCGCGGTTAGCCCTCAACCAAACAAAATTGTGAATCTGTCCTACCTATAGTACAGCCTCGACAGAGAGAGGCTATAGGCGACCAGAAAACAGCAAGTCATTGCACAACAATGGCGCGTCGATGTCGTACCGTTGTGTCTTGAACTCGCGGTCGATCTTCGCAAAGTAGTTGTGAAGGTCGACAACCTTTACTCCGGCGTCCGTCAACGGAGCTGGTACTGCAGTGTGCAAGTAATCCCGCAATTGTGCCTTGAGCACGTTGCAATGCGGTTTCGACAATCGATCGGTAGGGGGAACGGGCATCTATTGGAAGTCCGTGAACGTCAACGGGTCGAGTTCTTCAAGTCTTGACCATGACGTCGAATCCCCGSCGATAGATGGCGGCGAAGCTGCCGAATCGGTTGTCGATGGTGGTGAAACCGTGCATGCGGTGGATTGTTGCACGTGGAGTGGTTGGTCCAACGGTGGGACCAAGTGGACAGAGTAATCCTCTTAAGATTACTGAGGACTTGCGACATGCACCTCCTCCTCAAATGTGTAGGAGGCCGTTAGCAAGGCGGCCAAATATGGCAGAGAGAGGTGGAGTCGCCTCACCTCCCGCGCAGCTCAGTTTCCCGAGCTGTGGTACTGGCTGTCCATTTCCGGCCGGTGATGCGGTTTTCGCCTTCCCTTTTCCCGGGAGTTGTTGTTGCTTCGCAGCTGAACGACGGCCACCTGATCTCCCTCACGTGATGCTTGGGTGGCTGCCGGGTCTTCCACAATGGTGTTCGGTTGGACTGCAGCAACATGCTGCAGAAGCGGACCAAATTTTCCCTTCTCCACATGGGCTGGCTGCCACGCTGTCTTCTCGTGTGCAGCAGCCCGGTTGGTCTTGATGATCTCTCGGATGGTTCAAAATGTCGGAACTTGAGCTTTTCGATGCTGGTGGATTCGTGCCGCTGTAGCAGATCCTGGGCCTCCTTGCGGCTGCCCTGGGCATCTGCGTCAACTTCGGCCTGAAGTCGCTGCTTTTCGGCTACTGCCGTCGCTTCAGCCTGTAGGCGGGCAGCCTCGGCTGCCGCCTGACGCTGTTCCTCAGCCTCAATCAGTGCGAGCTGAGCGTGGAACCGCTGTCAGTACTCGGCAATGGACTCATTGGCTAGTTGGCCTGGCATGCCCAGAACTGAGACCGTCATGGTGGCGGGGCACTGCTGATGTGGCACTGTTGCTGATGTGGTACTGCTGACGTGGCACTGTTGTTGACATGGCACTGCTGACATGGCACTGTTGCTGACGTGGCACTGCTGACGTGGCATTGTACCGAACCGGGAATGCAGGCAAAGGGTTGGGTGGGAGGGAAAACGCAGGTAGGTAACCAACCAAACTATACTTTCCTCCCGGTCCTAATCAA